TCTGTGTGTGTTTCTGTCAGTGTGTGTTTCTTTCTGTGTGTGTTTCTGTCTGTGTGTGTTTCTGTCAGTGTGTGTTTCTGTCAGTGGCTGCTTCCCGGCTCCATCCAAACGTCTAAATTTACATTTTAAAGCTAAATTCTCCAGACGAGTGTTTTAACTCTGTATCACTAATAATCTCCGTCCACACTAACACACGTCACATGACCGCTCGCGTCCACTGGTCATGTGGTGTAAACAGGAAGCAGATTGCCACAAACGAGGAACATTGACGGTGTAAAGTCAGAGCAGGGATTTTCTTTTCTTGGAGCAACGACGAGGTGGAACTGTCACGGACAGGAAGTGTTAGCGACACTTTGTCTTCACCGCTGGTAGTCGAGTCACGTGACTGATGAGAACCAATCAGGAAGAGAAGGTGGGCGTCATCGACATTGTTTACAGAAGTCTCCGTTTCTGTTCGTCCAAACTAAAACGCAACCCCAGAGATTTCAAACTAAAACCAGACCAGTTTACACAAGTGTCTGATGTAGAGGCTGGAAAACTGGTGTAACCATAGCAACTGTGATGTTCTATAACTGAAATGAGCTGAACGGTTCTTTCATCATGTTAAATCCTCGTTTGTTTGTAAACTGAAAACGTTTTTGTTCAGACAACTGTGACTGAGACAAAGTGATAATCCTGAACATTCTCAGGCAGCTTCTGGACTCATGAAGAAAACAGACTCGAGCGTCACAGGAGACGCAACGTTACGTCAGCGGCAGAGAGTGAAAATGAAAGTCATTGTTCGTTGTAAGAACTGAAGATGAACCGTGTCGAGGCTCGGGTGAAGTTTGGAGCTGAACGTGACTCCTCCTTGCAGCTGCAGGAGAAAGGTGGACAAGGAGGTGTCTGGTTTCCAGCTCTCTGCTCTCAACATGTTACTCTCTAACGTCACAGACAGGAGCCCGACAGTCATTGTCTTTATGTGCAGAAGAGCGTGTCCCTGATCCGAGCCTGACGGGGGGGGGGGTTCGGACAAAGACGTTATTTGTTTCGGGTGGGGTTTGGTCAAGATGGTCGGGGCCAATACTTGATTCTTTTTATTCTGCATGTGCCAGTGATCGAGGAAAACTATTGATAAGAAAAATATTCAGATGTGTAGTTTCTATAAAATTATCAACAGAACATCCAAGATTATCTTCATTTATCATTAAAACGCATCTTTTCCTTCCTTTTTGTTTCTCAGACTCGGCTCCTCAGGTGAGGGGGGCGGTGCTGAAGAAGATGGGCGTGTCCTCTGCGGTGTCTGACGAGTCGGTGGCCGGTGACAGTGGAGTGTACGAGCCCTCAGAGCGCAGGTATGACGGTGAACAGTCGCTGCTCGAACGTGGTCTTTTCTATGGATCCTATCTGTGTATAAATACACATTTTCCTTTCCTGCATGTATGTGATTGAACATTGTAATGATAATGTGATATTCATGATGTAAGTGTGTGTTTGTGTTTTTGTGTTCCCTCCAGGCCGGGCCTCCCTGCCGACCTCCTCCTCAGCTCCTACGAGGAGCGTTTGGAACCCGACTGCTCTCAGGTGCAGCTCGGCTTCCGCTACGAGTCCAGAGACCAGCGCTTCACCGTCTACGTCATGCAGCTGTCCAACTGCAGCGCCCTCTGTCTGCCGGCTGACCAGAAAATGTACAAACTCTTGGTTGTGTTAATTAGACGTCACTTTAAATGTGTAGAAGAAATAAATGAAACAATGTTCTCAGATCGGAAACACATGTACACAGAAACACATGAACTACACGGCAGCAGAGACCTGTTTGTGTATGAGACGAACAGGGGATGTGTTTATTTACTTCTCAGGCTTGTTTGATGCTGCCGGACGTTTCCTGCGGTTCGCTGAGGTTAACAAACAACAGAACCTCTTCCTGTTAGCATCATGCGTCTAACGCCGCTGCCTGCGTCTCTTCCTCAGGTATGTGCGTGTGGCAGTGCTGCCCTGCGTGGAGACCACCCGCTGCCTGTTCCGAACACGCGGCTCTTTGTTTCAAGACACCGTGGAGCTCAATGAGGTGTTCGGCGTGCAGATATCCCATGGTGCACTGCGCCAGAAAACCCTGAGGGTGGACGTGTGCACCACCAGCAAGTCCAGCCACGAAGAGTGTCTGGTGAGTGTGTGGAGACGATGAATGTGAACTTTCTTGGGCTCGTTCTGTCTAACCTCCGTCCATCTTGCCTCTTTCTCCAGGCGGGCGCTCAGATCAGTTTGGCTGATGTCAGCTGTTCGGATGAGAGACGCACAAAGTGGTACAACCTGCTGAGCCGCGCCTACATGCCTGACATCAACAACAAGGACAAGGAGAGCAGAGCAGCCGGCGGCTCGGACAGGGTAATGACGGGGGGAGAGGCTGCCTCCCAGTGGTCACTGATCAAACTTATTGAACCAAAGAATTAAATTAAAAAAGTTTTTTTTTTAATCTAGTACCACTGTTTACTGTGTCCTGTGTTGTTTAAAGGTCATTAAATAAATGACAATATTAGTTTGCATTAAACAGGAAGAACGTTTTGTAAGTTTTGAGGATCAACGCAGATATAAATGTGTTTCAGACTCGTGTTTCCAGCAGTGACACGGTCGGGGCTTCTGAGGACGACGAGTGGTGAGTGTCTGTTAAAAGTTGTTCCTCAGCAGGATTGAACAAAAGCTACCAGACAGATTTCCAGTGAACTTGGTGGAAGGGAAAGAATTCACATCTAGTTCCTGTCCTCGTCTTCCTCGTCTTCTAACTGTGGGTCACTCTTAGGCACGGTGACACGCTGGAGGCGGACCTGTTTGATGATGAAGAAGGAAATGGTGTGGGGGAAGTGGGGCCTCTGGAGGAGGAGGAGGATGAGTTTTATCCCGACAGCAGCCGATGGGAAGCAGGAGAAGAGGAGGAGGAAGAGGAGGCAACTAAACCTCCTCCTCCTCCTCCTCCTCCTCCTCCTCCAGCAGCAGCAGCAGCAGCAGCAGCAGCAGCAGCATCAAGGATCCCAGAGAAGGTAACTGTGTTTTATCTTCAGTAGTTTTGTGGTTGATTTTTATTTCCTCATAAAAACCAGGA